CCGTGTAAAATGTCCATCCCTACTTTTAACTATGCAAAAGAGTTAATTCAACTCAATTAAAAATTTTTGAATCTGGAAACAAATTTGAACTCAAATCATTCGAATTAAATTAGACTTTTATGGTTCAGATGTAGGATTTCTTGACTAACCAGAATTAACAGAAACAAATATTCTAATCATGATTTGGTATTTATTCAAAACTAAATTTTGATTCACGTAAACCAAAATTATTATCGAATAAGTATTTAAATAGACCAACTTATAGGACTTCTTATATAATTTAACTTCATATACAAATTAGGGTCATTTCTGTATTTACACTGAAAATAAGTTTTTAGGAAAAATATAACAAGGAAGCTAAAAATTTTCTACCATCTAACATTTTTCATTTGATATTTCTGATTTTTTCTTTTTAGGAAAGTCTTTCTGAATATTTTTTTTGTCAATATTTCATGATGTTTTAGGAAAGTCTTCTAAATATTATAATTCAACATCGTTTCATATACTTTAAGAAAGTTTTCTTAAATTTTTAAAAATTTCTGAATTGTAGATGGGCTTCCTGAATTGTGGAAGAGCTTACTAAATGGTGGAAAGGCTTTCTGAATTTGATTGTTAATATAAAAAAAAATCAATTATACGATTTACGAAGGCTTTCCTAAATATGTATAATGACTTTCTTAATTTATATATTTTAGGAAAGTCTTCCTAAAAGTTTAGAATATCTTCTTAAATTTACTCTCATCTTCTTCCTCACGTCTGCGACACCCAAATCCTAGTTTTCGCCGATCTCTTTTTTTCACTATTGTTGTTGTTTTAGCTCGGATTTTTTGAGTTTTTCACCCAATTATATCAGAACTATCTTCCACTATATGATTTTGAACTTTAAATCCCGAAAACACTTTCTCGTCAAAAAAACTTCAAAGATCTAAAAGATTCACAATCACAATCAAAGGTTCGAATTTCAAATCGGTCTTGGCCACTGATACTTTTGTTTATACACTATTTTCTTCTCCTTTTATTAACTAATGTTTTGTCTAACTAAAATTAATATAATCAAGTATTTAGTAAAAAATGTTATAGAAAGAATTTTTTAGAGTATTAATGTATGTATTAGGAACACAAACTTAAATTAGGTGTATCTGAGAGCATTTCTCTATAAAATATATAGATATATATATATATATCACTAATCATATGAATCAGAAGTCAACATATTCCTTAAAATTACATGTACACAACCTCGGACATATGAATCAGAAAGTCAACACAATTTTAAATGAACTCCGGAAGCTCGAACTGGGAAGCTTTCCGGGCTTCTCAAGGTGGATCGACCTTATGGGAGAAAAAACCCGACATTAGCGTAATGTCTACTGCGTAAATTAAATTAAACATTAATTAGAACGTTAATGATAATCATTGTAGGATAAATTAGAGTTCAATAATAACATGTCATTATTGATTTGAAATAATTAGAATGATCTCAAACAATATCCAAATAATATTATATAATGCAAGTTTCTCTCCAATAAACTATCAACATCAAAAACTTTTTATTTTGTTTATAGGCTTTCAAATTTTTATTTTTTATGGGCTTTAATACATTTTGTATATATTGATTTTACAAAACACAAAAACTATAAATTATCTAAATTTTTTATGGGCTTTTATATACAGTTTTTTGACATTTACATGACATAAATTTAAAAATAGAAAATAAACACTTATTCTACAAACAACAAAAAACTGTAAATTATCTACAAAAAAAAAAAAATTTAGAATGCTATTTTGAATAAGAAATAAAGATAGTATGTGAGATAGTGAATTTATTTTGTTGATCTTGATAAAAATAAGCGACATAAAAAGAGTCAAATGAATAAAAATATTCAGTAAGAAGATATAAATATATACGATAATATATAAGTATAAAAATGAGGGATTTAACAATTAACATATCATATACTCCCTCTGTTTTATAATAAGTGTCATTTGGGGAAAATGTATATGCAATGTATCTGGATGTATTAAACTCAAAACACATCCAGATACATCCAGTTACAATGCAGATACATTTTCTCCAAATAACACTTATTATGAAACGGAGGGAGTATTATATATAAAACTAACTTTACAATAGATCTACATAATTTAGGTTAATAAAAAAAACTAAACAACATTTAATATAAAAAAAAGAGCAAAACAAATACTCTTTGTGTTCTTTAAAGATTTGTGTTCTTTAAAGAAGTATGTTTTAGAAAACAAAATTGTTTTAAAAATAAGAAAGTTTTCTGTTTTCAATGTATTTTTTATAGTTAATAATGGTGAATTTTAAACTTTAAGAAAAATAATTGAAAATGCTTAATTTATATTGGTTAAAAGTTATAGAAAATTGTTAATTACAGAAAAAGATGCATTTATAGTTAAGTTATAATGTGTTTTTTTAATATCTATGAAAACTCTAAAACATCTTTATTTAGAAACAGAGGGAGTATTAAGAAAATAAACATAGTAATAATAGAAATATATGATTTTCAATAAGAAATAAAAAGACTGGATACCATTGATGGTGAATTTTCGTTGTTGATATCACTAGAAATAAACAACATAAAAAAGCCAATTGAATAAGGCTATTTAGTGAGAAGATATAGATACATAACGGCAATGTATAAATATAAGAATGAGTTTTTTAAAATAACTAACACATCAAATTTTATATTAAAAAAAATAATTCATAATAGGTCTACATAATTTAGGATATTAAAAAGGAAGAAATTCAAAACTACCACAACCAATAGGTCAATTTTCACAAATACAACAGAGCGCTTGCCATTTTTATTTTTAGCATTTAATGAATTTTGAAATGGTGAAACTGATCTTAGATATTAGAACACAAATTGGCTATGCTTTTCGCCGAAAGAAAGATCCAAAATTGGTGAAAAACATCGATCCCGATCTTCGGGAGCTTTCGTGATATTGATGATTCTGTTGATGCGGTTTTGATCCAAAAATGGTACGAATAATCTGATAATGAAACGAATTTCGATTGATGTTTTGATGTTTAGCTAGATTTTTGATTGATGATTTTAGGTTGTGATGTTTACCATGGGGTTCGACTGATGTTTTGAGAGAATTTAAAACCAACTAACCACAGTTTCAATTCGTGATTCATCAGAGAGTTTGCACCATCTCTGACTTTCGTTAGTTTTAATATGGCGGAGGATTTATCAGTCTGAAAAATTATTAGGGTTTACAAAACTTTCCGAATAGTGATTTATTTCACTAAAACCATTTTGGTTACCGATTTTGAAAGATTTATAAACCTTTACAAATATATCTTTCTCTTGATCTCTCTCTCTCTCTTTCCCCAATTTCCTATCATTTCACATTTTGAAATATTTATAAGCCTTTATGAATATCATTTCACCAAAATTTGCATTTGTTGCTTTGTTTTGGATTCTAGGTGTTTTTCTTCTTTTTGTTTTCAATTAGATAACACTGTTGTGTACTTCTAGTTTTGATTTAAAGATTGTTTTTGTAAAATTTTGCAGATGATAGATGAAGAATTTGATACAACACTGAAATTACCTACATGGATCCATGAACCTGAGACTGAACTAGAGGACCCAATTGTAGTCATGCAATATTCGAACCTACTCTATTTGGATAGAGTCACGAAGCTGTTAGGAGATCTGGAATTGGGTGTCATTGAAAACTCTTATCTAAGCCCAATTGTCAAACTCGCAAGGAGAAAGAACATTCAGTTTTCTGAAAAGTTGTTCCATTTTCTGATGCAAAGAAGAATCTTGACTAAAAAAAGAATATTTGTGGTTCTCATTTGCTGAAAAACCGATGAGATTTTTGCTAAAGGATTATTTTCTAACCACATGTATATATGTAGATGCTAGGAGAGAGAGATAATTACATTGTGAAACAGTTGTTGCATTTGCTGGAAAAACATGCAAAAACAATATATGCTGAGGAGAGACTATCTCTTGGAACTGCTATCTTAACTGAGGGGATTATAATCTCGAAGAATCCAACGCATATCGTACCACGATTGAGATTGCAATTTTTTTTGAATTTTGATACTTACATTTTGCATCTTTGGGGAAAGATAGAATATGAAGTCTTATCGACATATAAATAATAGCTCATCATTCTATCTTGTAACCAAATTTAAGCTTATTTATCGGTGGAAAGTTTGTAAACAAATACCAAAATTCAGACGATTTTGTATGATCTATGTCTCTAATTATTCCTTCGTAGTCCGAATGATCTTTTTTTTTTAAATAAATCCAAAATTTGTAAAGACTCGAGAAAGACTAAAAATTTTAAAAACACAATTGAATTCGGTAAATGACTCAAAGAAAAAATGTTGAAAAATAGTAAAACACACAATTTTAAAGATACAGTGTATTGGATGAATGAATTACAGTAACTCTACATTGTTTATGTATTGTAGTTTGCTTTACATTAAACTTGTATCTCCTATGTTGAAAATAAGATCCACATGATCCAAGGAATTATTTTGGACTGAGGGAATAATAATAGAGGAGGTTGTCTCCATTCCAGTTAAGAAAGCGAAATAGAAATTAATTTTTATGTAGAGTTTTTTGTTTTGTTTTTTGACACGACTATATCCACCCCAAAAAAAATGTTGCGATAACTACTTTCATTCAACTAATATACTATCTGTTAAGAACCGGTGCCTCTTGGCTCATGCCATTTAACGAATCTAATGTGGTAAAAGAAAGTTTAAAATTGTAGTCGACGAATTTGAACTGCCAGGTGATGTTACTGTTGTAATGTTAGTCATTGACTTATTGTCATCATACATATAGCTGAAAATATTCATTTGCGTGTAATATATATACGCTATATCCGAGAATAAAGCTTAGCCGACCAAAAAAATTAAAATGGAGAGAGTTGGGGAGAAATTAGCTAAATCTCGTTCCCCCTTCTTCCTCTACTGCCTATACTTCTTTTCCTTCTCCTTTTTAGGATTCTTGGCACTCAAGATCTCTAAGCCAAGAACAACTTCATGTCCTCATGACTTGGATCTCTTTTTCACTTCTGTCTCCGCCATCACCATCTCTTCCATGTCCACCGTCGACATGGAAGTCTTCTCCAACATCCAACTTATCTTTCTCACAATCCTCATGTTCCTCGGTGGCGAGGTCTTTACATCCTTCCTCAGTCTATACTTCTCCCATTTCAACAAATTCGCCTTCCCTCATAACAAGATTAGACATCTTATGGGCTCTATCGACTTGGATCATCCGGTAGAAGATCTCCGTAATGACCTCGAGACCGTTACTGATCGTCGTGAGGGTCCTAGCCAGATCAATGAGAGAGCATCTAAGTGCTTGTACTCAGTGGTTCTTGGTTACCATCTTGTTACACACCTAACTGGCTCCGCGTTGCTTCTTGTGTACGTAAACTTTGTTAAAACGGCGAGAGATGTTCTTAGTTCCAAGAAAATCTCACCTCTCACCTTCTCGGTCTTCACAACTGTCTCCACGTTCGCAAACGGTGGATTTGTCCCCACGAATGAGAACATGATCATCTTCCGCAAGAACTCAGGCCTTCTTTGGCTCCTTATCCCTCAAGCACTTATGGGAAACACGTTGTTCCCTTGCTTCTTGGTGTTGCTCATTTGGGGACTTAATAAGATCACAAGGCGTGAAGAGTATGGTTATATTCTAAAGAACAACAAGAAGATGGGATACTATCATCTACTCTCAGTTCGTCTTTGTGTTATTCTTGGATTGACGGTGTTAGGGTTTCTAATGATACAACTTCTTTTCTTCTGCGCCTTTGAGTGGAGTTCGGAATCTCTTGAAGGAATGAGTTGGTACGAGAAGTTCGTTGGATCGTTGTTTCAAGTGGTGAACTTGAGACACACCGGAGAAACAATTGTCGACCTCTCCACACTTTCCCCAGCTATCTTGATACTCTTTATCCTCATGATGTGAGTATTTTCTTCCTCTTTCATCTTTTAATTATTGCATTCGGATGGACTTAAATTATTTAAACTTTTGTCGGCCTTGTCCGGTCGAAACGTACAATTGTATCATGTCGACAAATTTTTCACACATGTGGAAGTTGATGACATACGCATCTTGCATGTACGGCGTCTCAAAATTTCAACGAGCATGTTCTAAAACAAATATTTATTGTACATAGTTTTGCCTTGATGATGAAAAAAACAAAATTAAGTATTTTGACTACATAATAATTATAAGAAACATTATGGTGAGTTATTTCGAATAACTGTGTGATGTTCTTAACATCTTAATAACCTCAATGGTATCAAATTCTAATTTTACTGGAGCTAATGTTTTTAAATCAACATAGAAATCACAAATTGTCTTTCTCCAAAACATAGAGAAGTATCTCAATAAATTTAATGGTTATACATACTAAAACTTTATTAGGTTTTCCCTTCCATTTTTCGTATACAAATCATGATGGCGATGATGATTAATTCATGTTGTGTCTTCTCCATTATCTAGTTTTTAAAAAAATAAGATATGTCTCTTCAAGATTATGGGGAGTCTCTCCGACTACAACTCATCATGTGCACTTAGCATTATTTCTTTGTTTTATAAATGACTAGGTATCTTCCTCCATATACATTGTTTATGCCGTTGACCCAAGAAAAGAGTAAGCAAGAGGGAGAGGATGTTACCAGAAATGTAAAAAAGAAGAAGAGTGGACTCTTTGTGTCACAACTCTCCTTTTTGGTGATATGCATCTTTCTCATTACCATCACCGAAAGGCAAAAGCTACAGCGAGATCCATTCAACTTCGACGTCCTTAACATCACTCTCGAAGTTATCAGGTGTGCTTTTACATCTCTATAACATTTTCACATTAAACTTTCATAATTTTCTAAGAATTATCGTATCGGCAGTGCATATGGAAATGTGGGCTTCACGACCGGGTACAGCTGCAATCAGCGCCTGAACGTGAGCGATGGTGGCTGCGAAGACGCGAGTTACGGATTTGTGGGACGGTGGAGTCCCGGTGGGAAAGTCATACTAATAATAGTTATGTTTTATGGTAGGTTTAAGCACTTCACACCCAAATCTGGCCGGGCATGGATTCTTTATCCCTCGTCTTTCTAACAAATCATATATATACCCGCCAAAAAATAACTAATCTCGTATGTCTTTGTATTTTTCCCATATTTCGTGTGATGTACTGTATTGTAAGCTAGTGTGTTTGCATCTTTTTTTTATTACAACAATGAATGCTAATATATATATATATATATATTATAAGAACATTTTATAAAATAGAATTTTTAAACATAAAAATATATTATTTTAATATAATTTAATATTTATGTCTAAATTTTAATATATAAAATAAATTGAACCAATGAGAACATGACAAGTGATTATTGTGTCTCTTATAGCATCTCCAATTTACGTGTATTTTTCACACTACTTTTAGAAGAAAAAATAGAAATGTTATTTTTGTTCACCAATCCACCTCTATTTTAGAGGAAAAAATAAAAATACTATATTTTCCTTCAAATATAGAGAAAAAATAGGTATCTCTATAATTTCCTTTATAATAGAGATGGATTGGAGAGAAATCAACATCTATTTTAGAGGAAAATATAACAAAATACATTAGAGATAGTCTTATTTTAAAATATGAAAACTTTTCTACTTTTCCTCTCTTACTTTTAAGTTTTTTCTAAATTAAGAACAACAATAGAAGCTCTAAGTCGTGTCTATTCTGATCTTGTCATGCCTGTTGTAAACCAAATATATACTACGTACAAGTTATTATGCATGACAAATAATTGATCTTTCTAAGAAACGTTTCCTAAATAATAACATATCAAATTTTTTTTTTTTGTGAGAAGTGGTAACAAATGAAATGGCCACCTGCTGTCACAAGATGATCGCATCTTAACCAACAACATGAGAAGCCATCGACATTCGACAGCATCATCATAAAGTTTTTGTGGATAATATATGAAGCTTACCAAAATTACAAATAGTAACTGAGTGTTCAAAAATAGATTTTAGAAGCTGAAGACAAACTTCTAATAAAGGGTTTTTGCGACAGAGACAGAGCGTTCAATGGATTTGCGTTGAGCTTTTGTAGCCATGATAAAAAAATTATTTATGACAACATGCATTACTAAAAAAGAGTTTACAAAAATGAAAATATAAGAATAATAGTAATAAATGGTCCTCATGAAAAAAGACCCATTGGGCCTCATGTAAAAACAAATCAAAAATGATATACCGCAGAATTTTTAGTTCTAACAAGAACGAGGAGATGACATTTTTTTGGGTACTAGGATGGAGACAATTGTCTCTACCATTTTTATTCAAATCATAACAAAACTACACCCTTATAGACCAGGCTCGTGTAGTACCATTTGCATCCTCTAACAACACGAGATCAATCTCAACAGGGGAATATTAAAAGCATGAAAACTCAAAGGAAGAGAAAAGGTATGGTTGGCTAGTCCGTCTGCTAGATGATTCCTTTCCCTGAACACATGAATAACCCAAACTATCCAATCCCTCGATAAAAAGCTATAGTACAACCGTATTAGGAAGGGCAGGAGGTGCGTCTCACCAATCCTTGCAGTTAAAAGATCCACAACAATCTTTGAATCTACCTCGATCTAGAGTCTGCGCACTCGTCTCTCCCACACAGTATACAGATCATAATACACACCCCATAGTTCTGGTAGCGGGGCCAAGCATACTCCGATGTTGAAAGCAAACGCACAGCACCATTGCCCCTCTTCATCCCGTAAAACCCCACCCGCAGTGGCCAGTCCTGGATTGCCTCTCGACGCTCCGTCCGTATTCATGTTCATCCATCCTCACGGTGGAGGATTCCACGAAATTAGTTGCTCCTCTCTACTCCCCCACATTCGTATGGCCCTGTAACTTAGAATTTGCACTCGAGACCTCCATAGACAGATCTTTGATGAAGCGCACATAGTCTCAACATTTCCCGTAACTACCAAAAACGTTTCCACACCACCATTTCCACGCCCACCACACATCAATTGCAAACTCAGTTGACCATACCATACCTCCCACATTATATTTATCTCCCAGATATTCAAATATCCACTCTATTAACGATCTCTCAAAGAAACCTGACCTTTTCTTTGCCGGAACAATGCGCATCCATAACCCCGATATTGCTGGACAATCCCGTAGTACATGAGTCATTGACTCCACTCCCCCCGACATACTTGACAGACTCCTGTAGCACTCAGGTGTCTCCGTAATCTTTCCATATTCGTCATGATTCTCTGATTAACAACGAACCACAGGAATACCTTCACTCTCTCGGGTGCTATAACTTGCCAGACCCGCGCAAATAGTGCATGTACATTCTGTCTAGGGGCGCTATCTCTGGTAATAAGCTCATATGCGTTCTTTACTGGAAACTCTCCATTTTACTCAGGTCCCCACGATACTCTATCCACTGCCCCTGTGATATCATCCAACACCAACGCCGCCAACTGCAAACGAGTGTTCATGGAAACCAACCTACTCCATTCTGCCATAAGTCTCGCACTGTAGCATTAAATAGGTCATCCAGAATCTCCACTGTAGCTGCCTCCAAAAATGGTATATTCAGTAACCATATGTCTTTCCAGAACCTAACACTACGCCCATCTCCGACTATCCAACTCACTCCTGGGAGTATAACTGTTCGCAACCCGAGTATCACGCTCCGCCATGTCGATGACGAGTTCCCTTTTACAGTTACCCATGAAACATCCCTTGCGTCTTTCACTTTATACTTGCACCTCAACACTCTAGCCCAAAGGCTAGACTTATCATGTATTAACCGCTAACCCAACTTTGCTATGAAAGCCTTGTTCATGTCCTGTGCTATGCAGATCCTCAAACCCCCTTCCCTCTTGGGTCTACAAACCTGTTTCCATGCCAAGAGATGTTGATGTCGCTGTTCTATAGAGTCGCCCCACTTAAACGCTTTAGATATCTGATCCAACTTGAGCAGAATTGATTTCGGTAATGAGAAGGTACTCATGGTATGCCACCAGAATAGACGATAAGACAGCCTTCGTGAGGGTGATCCGCCCCGCAAAGCTCAACATTCGCCCCTTCCAACCTGCTAGTCTGGACGACACTTTCTCCAAGACCTCCCCAAATGTGTCCTTGTTAATGCATTTCTGTAACACTGGCATCCCGAGATACTTTCCCAGTTCCCGTGTAGCAGCAGTACCACTCTCATCACTTATTTGTCTTCCCAATTACCTATCAACATTCTTAGAGAAGAAAATTTTTGATTTCTCCAGACTAATTTTCTGTCCTGATGCTACACAAAATCGTTCCAGGACCCTTCTTATTATTCGAACTTGAGAAATCGATGCTTCTGCGAACAAAATCAAATCATACGTGAAGCATATGTGGGAAAATTTTGGGCCTCCACTAGATAGACAGACTGGCTTCCACTCCTTACAACCAAACGACTGCTCCACTAAGTGACATAGACGTTCCAGACAAAGCACAAAAGAGGTATGGGGACAGGGGATCCCCCTATCTTAGCCCTCTCCTCGGATTAAAACCTTAAGTTCTCTCACCATTCCATAACAAACTCATCTCCAGCTCCGTTACACACTGCATGATCCACCTTATCTAGTTCTCTGGAAGTCTCGCTGTCCGTAACGTGTCCTCTAGAAAGTCCCACCTTACGCGATCGTATGCCTTCTCAAGATCCAATTTCAATAACATCCACCCTTTTCTTCCCTTTTCGTTGTTATATATATTGAGTTTCCTGATTAACTGAAAAAGACGTCTATGGTGGCACTTTGAAAAAAAAAATGTTTATGATGGCCAGTAATTTATTTTAGATTTGTTTTTAATGATGTATTCATAAAAATTTATTGCAATTCATTTTAAAATGATTTAATATATAAAGATTTTAAAAATTATTCATTTTTGACTAATACTAAATGTATTTACAATTGAATAACACAAACTTTAAAAAAATAAAGCATAATTTACATATAAAAGATCCATTACACTAGATGTTAAGATATAATTTAAAATAATTAGTTGAATAACATTAGATTATAAATTAGGTTGAATTCCGTTAAAATCTATGATTGAATAACTCTAAAAATCCAATTAGTGGTTCGGCTTTCAAAAATAAATTGTAATTAATCAATATAAAAGTCAATGTAAAGAAAAGAAAAAGGAAATTCTGATAAAGAAAGTCAACGAAGCAAAAAAAAGGAAAGTTTACAACTGTAAACCGTTTTACGCCGCCGCCTATATAATACTCTCTTCGTTTCATAATAAGTGTCATTTGAAGAAAATGTATTGTAACTGGATGTATCTGGATGTGTTTTGAATTTAATACATCCAGATACATTGCATATACATTTTCTCCAAATGACACTTATTATGAAACAGAGGGAGTAGTAGAAACACTGTGCAATCTTCATATTACGTTTGTTATTGTTTCCCTCACAAGATCAATGATGACAAAAAATGAGATGACGAGATGAATTCCATACGGGAATCCCTAAAATCTGCGAACTTCATAGCTATCGACACGGAATTTCCAGCTTATCTAAGAGAGACGCCCATGGGGGCGAGCAATGAAACGCGATACGGAAACATGAGGTTTAACTTCGACGGAACCAAACCAATTTAGTTGGGTTTCACGCTATTCGACAACGTCGGAAGAACCTACAGTACATGGGAAGTAAATTTCTCGGATTTCGACGAAACAAAGGACGTGAACAACGAGAAATCGCTCGACTTTCTTAGACGAAACGGTCTTGATTTAGAGAAAACCAGAGAGGAAGGAATCGCGATCAGTGACTTCTTCGAAATTTACCCAGATTCTGAAAGAGGAGGATAAGCACATGTCTTGGGTCACCTTTGACGGCTCATACGACTTGGCTTATCTACTTCAAGGCTTGACCAGAGGAAAACCTATGCCGGAGACTCTAAAAGATTTCGACGAAACGGTTCAGAGACTTCTAGAGCAAACTCACGATGTGAAGAAGATGGCTGGACTGTGCAGAGGACTGAATAGTCGTTTCGGGCTGCAGAGAATAGCCGACGAGCTTCAGATCAAGTGTTTTGGAGAAGCA